ATGCTGTGCCATAGACTCTTCAAATCATTATCTGCCAAGCACTGTTTTACCTAGAGATCGTTCAGCTGCAGAATTTGTGCTTTGATTTGAATGAACAACGTGCGACAAGGCTCTTGTTTCCAGATCTATATGCCATTTCCTTTTAGCAGCGAAATCGCTGCAGTGATTTAGACGTAATTTCGCACGCCTTCACCTGAAGCTTTACTACTAGACAGAAACAGTCAAGACTGTCTTTTAAGACACTGCCGATTTTGTTAAGTGCCACATCTAGATCCTCCTGGCCAATAGACAACGGTGAGAAACTGGGCCAGTCAAAGGAGTTGAGAAACCGTCGCAGCTTTTGGACGCTGATTTCGTGAATGTCCCTGCTAGGCGCGATGCGACTGGATGACGAAGGTAATCCAGCGCCGCGTGTAGATTTTTGCCGATCGATGCCTTGGAAGCTTGGCGAAATTCGGACAATCGAAATGGAACAGCTTAGCGAGAGGAATGCGCTTGAGAGCGGTTGACAAACACCTTATCCATGGTAGCCGCACGGAGCGTATGAAATAGTACATTTACAAGGTCAAGCTTCTAAGAAATTCCAGAACGTGACGATTAAAGTCGTCGGCTAGAATGGCTAGATTTTTCTGTATCACAGATCAGCATTCGATCTTCCATACTCTAGCGCCTCAGCAGATTTTTCTCTTGCCACGTAGGATAAACTGTTTTGTGTCGATAGCGAGATTCCAAATTTTGGACGTTAATGTCGTATAGACTTCTTTCGAGTCTGTGAAGAACCGAAATAAATAGAGAAGGTTCTAATTTTGTGCTTATTTGTTCAAAAATAGTACATCAGGACCATGAAACAGACGAGGAACATGTTCAAAAATGTACAAGAATATTATGAATATTTTGGCACCGTTTCCTAGTATCAGCGGATAATCAAGTTCGTTAATTAATGAGAAACATCGAACCTCGACAAGGAAATCGTAGCGCTGCGTGATCTCGAGACCGGCTCTACTACCTGATTCTCAAGTATAGACCTGAATATATTGGCTACTGAAGTCGTACTACGAACAAGACTGTATTAAGGCTTTAGCAAACGAACCGTTTTAGCGAACAGTTTCAGCTTGGGTTCAGATCGCGCCAGTCAAATTTACCTTAAGTGAACCCCATAGCACTCGAAAAGTTGCCAGTGCTATTTATGTAAAAATGAACCAATACGAAACAACAAAGCAAGCAGAGAAAGAAGATCCATATCAGGCTTTCCAGTCTAGTCCAGAATGACTGTTCTTATTTTGTGGGATCAATCGGATATTAGACGGCGAACGGAAAGACTAACCTTCGGCAAGCCTCCGTCCGGCGCCTACATAGAACGCACGAGGGTCTTGTACTTAGCCACTTCGAAAGGCACTGTTAATAGCACTGGCACAGCCAGTGAGTTTGGGTCGGTTAGAATAGAACTGCCTATATCAACGGTTGCCTTCATCAAGTATCTGGTTAGGATGGACTCAAACTCGTCAGCGCTGCAGTTACAGAGTCGGCCAAGTACTTTCAAAGGGTTGTACGAGCCAGTTGTTTTATCCCGAAACTGCAGAAATGTACCGGTGCAACGTATAGGGATAGAGGTAGAATGCAGCATTTGGTAACATCTTTCGGCACTTCTGAACTAGCGCACAACCTCATCAGTTGGCGTCGCACAGAAACCGATCAACGTACTTTACAGGTTATTGCGTTCATCTGTTCTGTTTCCTTTGAAGACTCTCATTCACAGTGAACCCAACGTTGAGTTTTTTTGAACAAGGTGTTGCAGAACTGTGTAGTTAGTAAAGTAATTTACGTACGGCTCTGCTTACACAACTAAAATTATATTCCACAGATTTCTTTGTGTTAAGTTTTATGCCATTTCGTTCGTCTAGTCCCTCACCTCTTGCATGAAGGCAAAAAGGATGCACTACTTTAGATTCGGACTGTACTGCAGCCAACAAAGCACCATCGTCATGTCGTACTTCACGCATGTGGTAATGGCATAGCGTGTTTCTCATTTATTTTGTCTTTGTTTTGATATGCACGTTGATAGTTCCAACTTAAAGTGTGCTGCAACAATTTTCTGAGCGCTGGTGCAACTATTTTAACAACGCGCCCTTCGCTTTCAGGCACATGTCGTCTTTCATCGATTCAGTTCGCCAGTCGGAAAAAGATTCTGCCGAAGTTATGGACCTGATGACGTTTGCTCGCTCGTCGTTGAACATTTCTGCAGATGACGTCGCATCTACCAACGACAGTCATGTCGTCTGGTTGGAAGTGCTGCTTAACAGGTGATCGATGACCATCGTTTCGGTCGTCAGGTTTGCAAAGTGCCTCGTCATGTTCGTTTGTGTATTCGCAAGGGTTTGAGATAGAGATGCTCCTCGCTTTATGATTATTCGACTAAACGGTAGTGTAATAGCGATAACGATAGCCCTCAGTCTCTGTAGCGATCGCGAGTGTAAGCATCTCGTACAGTGTTGCTAACGTTGCTAACATGCTGTGACGATATGATCATAATTATGAGAGATTTGCAAAATTTGAAAGACAAATACATGATGCTCTTGCTTAATATAAATAAATTTATTATGAAAAGAAGAAACAAACTGTCCAGTCAAAACTTAATATCTTCCTGAAGAAGCAAGCTGTTGTTGCTGAACCATCAGCAAGTTTCGACCAACCAGTGCCTTCTACGCGCTATGTTAGCGAGTGTGAATCATCGGAAGAAAAAGAAATTGATGACCCTGTCGCTATGGGTCCTCCCTGGCAACATCTTCCAGCATTTAACGTTAACTTTTCAATTACTGGTATTT